AACGGATCTAGATGTCTTAATGTATTCATACAGATGGTCCAGTTATTGTATTGGATTGTCGTGTCCTATGGTAGTTTAGCAAGTAACAGGATTCCTTGATGTAGCGTTTGTGAGCTAATGAAAGGCTCCGTCACTTGAAAATTGGCTAGTTATGGGCCAAGCCGGGCCTTTATATTGCAGTCCGCAAAATGAATGAATTTGGAATGATAAGTTTCCGAAAACCACGACCAGTCTTGCACAAACGCAAATGTTTTGGATGGCTGCTGATAACAATGAGCCGGGTTATCACCTGTTTGGTTGTCATGATCAATCCCCTCGGTTCACAAGCCGGCGAATCTCACTGCCGCTTTTTTAAAAAGGCGGTGCTGTCCGTTTCCCTGTCAGCTACTGGTGTCGCTGCGGACCGAGCGGCGCTGATGTTGCTGCGTGACGGAATGTTCACCTGCGAGGGCCTTATGCTTTTACCACCATTGTCGGCTGCGGCAGCCGAGATTTAGCTCTAATCCTGGCAAAATGCAAGACGCGGGCATCTTGAAGGCTCGGACTCGCGACGAGCTGCACCAATCGAATCGCACTTCTGCCGATGCGATCGCCCATTGGGCCTCCTTCAAGCGGTGTTGGTACGGCGTTGCCATGACGTCCGCTCACTGATGACTAGGCCGGTTTTGAGCTGTCATGTGCGCCTCTTTCGTAATTTAACATTCCGTTTTTCCATGCTAATCGTATGGTGCAAGCCGTATTTTATCCACGTTGTAAGGGTTCAGAAAAAACGAATCGAAACACTTGTATGCAGTTTTCACGAACCATGAAGCAAAGATTGAAAAAAAACTTTGCCTCTTGCTGCAAAACGCATCAATTTGCGAACACTTGTCACAAGGAATGAGCTTTCAGACCGGGCCGCTACCGGGGTGGGTCGCTCAAGATAAATATATCACCGTTAAAGTGATCCTCGTTCAGCCTATACCCACGCCTCCAGTAACTACATTGGACGTCCCATACACCCTGGCATACTCAACTGCGGATATTACAGCAGAAACATTGGGGCTCCTTAAGTCCAATGTGATTTATTGCGTGCGCATGTCACACACGGTCGTTAGCACAGAAGCGTTTAGTGGGGTACTCCTAGCGGCGAACTGCTGCCCCAGTTCTTGATCCAATCCCATGGTCCACTTATCCGATTGTTGAGAGTAGGCTGAGGTAGCCGGCAGCGCTGTACGGAACGATCCCAATAACGGAGCCAATAAGTGCCCTTAAGCCACTGAAGTGCCCGTTTATCGCAGTCGCTCAGCCTTCCTACCAGAGCCTATCTAGCGAGTTTGCCCGCGCCGTTCGCTGCCTTCCGTTGACGCCATTCATGGAGCTGCTGCGTTTTCTCGCTCCGTCACCGACGGGTCCGAGCTCCGAGCCCGTGGTGCACCCGTAAAGCCCGCCCCGCGTGAAGCCTCGGTGGCGCAGTTGTCTTGTCCGCCTGTCGCGCCAGCCGGTCGGCCGGTCCTCGTGTCAGATCGCTCACACGTATGACGTCAGATCGCTCCTGCTCGTGCTCGTGCGGCGTTTAGTCAGCCGGCTCGCCTGTCTCAGCTCGTTCAGCACCGCGACTCGCCGTCGTCCGGCTCGGAAAGACAGAGACCCACCGTCCTCCGGCTTGTCCAGCAGTCGTTCGTCCTCCGACTCGTCCGGCAGTCGTTCGTCCTCCGACTCGTCCAGCGCTCGTTCGTCGTCCGACTCGTCCAGCACTCGTCCGTCGCCCGATTCGTCCAACGCTCGTCCGTCGTCCGATTCGGTCAGCGCTCGTTCGTCGTCCGACTCGTCCAGCGGGCGTTCGTCCTCCGATTCGTCCAGCGCTCGTTAGTCGTCCGACTAGTCCAGCGCTGCGGCGGCCCGCGGCGTCGTCGGGCCGGTGTCGGGGCGCACGACATGTCGTGATCGCCGCCCGCCATGACTCACACTAACGATTGGTAGCGGGCCCGAGCTCGATTAAAACGGCGCCGCGACCAGGGACCTCGTGCCGGCGACTCAGCACGCGAGCCAGCTCGACTCGACTCGACTCGACGCGCAGGCGGCTCGGCGTGGAGTCAGAGGCGTCGGAGTCCGAGGGCGTGAGACGCGGGTCTTTTGGAGTCGGAGTCACCTAGGGTTGGTGGCACGTGAAATCAGAATTGGTCACGGTCGGATTTTCCAAAAGTACGAGTCAGCTAAATTCAAAGTCACCGGGAATCCGAATGGCCAAGAGTCAAAACTTCAATGAATTGGAGTCCACAAATGCAATTCTTGGGAGTCAGGGTCGGCCTGAGTCGGCGCCGGGTCAGCTGCATGGGCGGCCTCCCCCGCGCAGACTTTGGCACATCGCCTGTCCTTAACCGGGGGCCCGGCTGCCGACAGCGAGCGCCGCCAACGAAAGCACGGCTCTGTCTCTCACGGCCGCCCCGTCGGCGCGTCCCGGCCACTCAGCGATTATGACTTGGCCGGGGCCCTGAGCACATGCAGCGGCAGGCCCCGTTTCCGGGTGTAATTGTGCGCCGGCGGACCGACCGCCAAAACAACTCCATCGCTGCCACCGACCAGCCGCGGCGGCCGCGTTATTTACAAGTCAGATGAACTCGTCCGCGCGTGAGCCTCGCTGACGGCGCGCGGCGGCGCTCGCAGGGCACGGCGGGGCGGGCTGGTCCGCGCGCGAGGCGATCGGTGTCCCGCGACGCGACGCGATCGCGATCAGGCGGGGGAGGGGGTAGAGGGAGGGGGGGGGGGGTCGCCGGCGAGGTGGTCCTGATGACCAGCCGGCGCCGCGGCTGGCGGCGCCGGAGGGGGCAGGCGCCGGCCGGCCGCCTCGCTGTCGCCACACCTATTGATTGTGCCGCACTGGTGGCCTGGCCGCGGTGGTCTTGGATGCACCCTCGGCGCCGGTGGATGGTGGAAATGGACTGCGCGGTCGAGCTCTGGGGCTCGGACATTTTTGTTTTTGTCTTTGTTTTTGGTTCAAGTAGTCGCTGTGCACAAGCGGGTCTTGCGCATTCCTGAAATACTCCGCGAGGACGTTTTCGAAGCGTGTTACAGCGGCTGATTTCCGTGGTGATGATAGTCCTGCTCACGTGGTCGTAAGAGAATAATACCTTATAAATTGCTTCTGATGCGTACGTGATGTGATCATGGTTGTGACGCGAACCATATGATCTGGCCGCACGCGATCACACGCGTATAATTTGATTGTTCAGTTCAGTATCCTTCGTCAGAATTCCCCTTCAGCATCCAGTATCAGTATTCTTTAATGTTAAACACTTGTGGTTCATCAGGCCCTCTATCGTAACGTTCAGTTCTGGTGCAGAAGAAATATCCCACTTCAAGTTTATCCTGGAATCTGAGTCCACCATCACATGATGTCGCAGCTCGATGCGTAAACGCATCCCGGCCACGGTCCGCCCCGCCAGTCCCTGCCCGGCTCCCTCCCTCCCCTCCCTCCCGGCGAGCCTGCCTGGCCCGGGCCTGGCCAATGGAGGTCACTCAGGGGCGCGGCGGACCGCTGCAGCTCGCCTCACCAGAGTCTGCAGCGCGCCGGCGCCGGCCTGACAGCCGCTGCTCAACTCGTTATCGCAACTTATCCCGATCAGTCGGCGACCTCCGCTGTTGTTGGCCGGACGCTGCGACGCCGGCCCTGGTGGAGCTGCCCGCCGCGAACCTACCGGTGCCGCCGGCGTGTGGCGGGCAGGAACGCCGGCACGTGGAGCGTCTCATGGCGGCGTGCCGCCCCATCGGACCGCAGCGCCCGAGGCATGTGGAATTTCCCGCGGTCTGCATTTGCCGAATGAATGATCCAGTTAGCCGAAGTGCAGCCGTCACACGAGTTTCACCATGATTATCCTCGGAGGGCGTGGCATGGGTAGGCGACGCGCCGCGAGCCGCGGGGCCACGGACTCCGGCCGCCGCTCAGGAGCCGCATCGGATCGCCGGGATTAGGCACCTGCCGTGTTGCTGCTCGGTGCGCCGCCGCTGCCGGTGTCAGCCGGAGCGGGGCACCGGCGCGGCTCATCCGCCACGTGCGCGCGCACACTGCGCCACGATGGCCACTGGTCACTGGTCACGGTGCGACCGCTACACGCCATTGTCCGCGGCCGGCCGCGGGCCGGTCGTTTTTCAGACGCACCGCACCATCCCCGGCCACCGTGAAGGCAGCGTCTAATCGGTGAGCAGCGGGGCCGCACACGGCCGCCGCCGCACCGGACACCGCGGCCGAGCGCCGCCCGCCGCCTCCCCCCGTGTAACCCTACACGCCCCGGCGGTCGGCCGGCGCCGCCGCCACCGGCGAGGAGGGTTTTTGCCGGCGGCCCGCGCACGTAATTCCTACGGAGCCGCGGGCAATAAATATCGCGGCCGTAAGCCGGCCGTCATCCCCTTAGATTACCGGCCGAGCCATTTATGCCGATACCAGATGTAATTAATTCGGCCGAGGCGCGGACGGGTTTGGTGCGGCGTCGGACCGGGGCGTGCCATTGTCGGCGGCTGTCATCCCCCCTCCGCCGACGTCGCCTCACGCGGCCCGCCGTAAAAACCCTGCAACAGTTGACGAATCAATCACAGTAATGCGACGTAAATGATTCGGTGGCAGCTGCTCACAATCGATGGAAGGGGGGGGGGGGGGTCGATGGCCGATGGCAGCGCCGTGTGCTACCGCTATCTGATGCATGTCTGCCACCCGGAGCAAAAACCAGCCGGCATAGCTGCATACAGAGGCTGTAGCTAGCCAGCTTAAGAAGAAAAATACATTATCTTCTCACGGGCAAGGCGCGGCTGTCTACCCCGTAACGCCTCGTGTTACGCTAAGCCGTGCCTGGCCCCTGCGAGTACCGTTGGGCCCGGTGTTGTCCCAGTCCGGCCAGCCGACGCTGACGGTCGGTGGCGGTCGCCCCGCTGACGGTCGGTGGCGGTCGCCCCACCCGCTGACGTCCGGGAATGTCGCGGCGCTGCCGGGCCGATGCCGCCGCTGATACGCCGTGTTTCCATTTCAGGGAGCTTCAGGACAACAATCTGACGGTGATCAGGCAGGCCGACTTCAGGGACCTGCGACAGCTGCGGGCGCTGTAAGTGTTCCTCGCCCGCATCGGTCCTGGCTTTGATTCTTCAGGTCCCCTCACTTGTAGCTTTTCACATCGCATACACGACCGGTTTTGAGAGAAGCCCGTTTGGACCTTTGTCGTACCCATGACAGATTTTGACATTAGTGGAAGAAACTAAACTACCGTATCCTTTACGTGCTCTATCTGCAGCATCGCTCCAAACCGTCCAACTTCCCCAATCCCCAACGGCTTGCGGCCTATCGTCTTCTTTGTCTTCGTCATTATCCCGAAACAAAGCGAGGGTGATGGAAAAGGTGCGCCGCAGAGACGTAGAAGGCCCGTCCCATTCCATCTCACGGACCGTCACCGCCTCGTCGCCAGCTTTGCAGTCACCATGACGCTGACTTTCGGCTCACGGGCGTTCCGCGAACACCTTTCCCGGTATCCTGGCCCGGCCGCCGTGTTCTCGTACTCACCATCGGCCACCGATTCCCCGAGTCGGCAGCGGGTTTTATTGGAGCTATTCCTGGCGCGGGCCCGCCTACCTTCTATCACTGAGATCACTGGCTGACGGTAATCATTGACGCGTCCCGACCCGATAATACGGCCAAATAAGCGAGTAGGTGCCCCTGACGTCACGCATGACTGACGTCACACGTCAGTTGGCCGGACAGCTGGCGCCGGGGGCGTGACGTCATCTCAGATGGCGACAGGAGGCGTCTGCACATCATCGTAATGGCCGCAGGGCGAGTCGTTGGAAATGTCTGGAGTTTGCCCTCGCTTTTCTCCAGCCGCCTCTGGGGTCAGTTCGTGCCAATATCGCTCCAGCTTTCTGTCGGCTCTGTCGTGCTGTCTGGCCTACGCGTCCTGTCTTTCATTTGTGCGTTCACCTCGCCCAAATACCCGCCTTTGACAGATCTGTAATGCCCCTGCCCGTTTGAATGGGACGTGCTGTTGAGCAAGAATAACGGCTGCACTATTGAATCGGACTGACACTGTCCCAGTGTGACCACAAGCCGTCGCCCCAGATTCAAGCCAGTCTAGATATACCCGTCAATCTGTATTCAGAACCATCTTAGTCGGCGCCCAAGATAGCAACCCCCCGAAGCCACACGCTATTAAATACAGCTCAAGCTAGGCATATGGTCCAGACCAACCCTGGCCGAGCATTTCACTCGTTGCCCCAGGCAGGCTGCGCACTTATTACATTTCGTCAGACGTCAACCATTTCCATGAAGTTTTTTTTTTCTCCATAAACCGGTTTGACTGTGAACAACATGCATATGTTTCGGTGCGTGGTATATGAGTTCATAAGCTTGCATGCCCATGTGGATGTAATGGATTATCTATATTTAGAACGATTCTGCTAATTGAAAAGTTTTGTATCACAACTTAATTACACGATAAGGTTGAACCTCCAAATCCCCGGAGCCGTACTTTGTTCGATACGCAGCTCATTGCTCATTTACCAATATGTGCCAAGTCTTAGCCGACAGAAGGGGCTACGTTAACACTTGGATGGCTTGTAGGGAAAAATCGAAACTTTTACCGTGATGGTGCGCCCCGACTGACGCGAGTGGGACCTAAAAGCGCGTACGTCAGGATACACAGACGTAAGCGCGGGGCATCTGAAGTTCTCAGATTGCGCCGGATGCGCACGTTCGTGACGCATGACGAGCGTGCAACGCCGCCGTATACATACATACATACATACATATATATATATATATATATATATATATATATATATATATATATATATATATAGGTATTTTGTGAGTTGTTGCACTTTGGCTTAGTAAAACATTATGGCATCCATTTCCACGCGCCCGGCCAGCCGGTTCAATGCACCGCGCTCGTATGGGTGCGTGGCCATTGCGGCCGTGCCGAGATCTCGAGAAATAAGAGAGCTAAAGAAACCAAATTTACAGGCTGTATGCGAACTCCCTTTTGCCAGTGTTGGCGTTCGTGTGCCATGCTATTCAGGTCAATATGTTATGCTATCACGCTATATCATCATGCTATATCATGCTATATCATGCTATATCATGCTATAGGGCCGAACAAGATCATACTCTAACCGGCATCTCAAGTGCCCCCAGACCTCCTGATAGACAAACACCCATCATTCTTATATATCTCTTGTAAACAATCGGTTATTGGTATTCGCTTCAGGCCAGTGGACTTATTTGGCGCTCAAAAGATCACGGTAATCAACAGTGCGACATTGTTTGATTTTAAAAAAATCAAATAAGCGCCAATGATCACGCTAGTAGGTGTGTTCCTTACAATAAAAGGTTAAACGAGGTCATCTTCTATCAGTGACCTCTTCTAACCTTCATGAAATCCCAATTAGATGTTTGTTGACGTCCCTGTGATCAAAAAATTCAAAATAAGCGTCAAAAACTGTCCGCTTTAGAACATTTTCTGTAAACGACCAGGTTGGTTTTGACTTCGGTTTGAATTTCACGCCTGACCGCAGGTCCATGGAATTATTCTTTATCAGGAACTCAATAGTATGATTGTGCACAAAACCATCTCAAAGATATAATGATTTATCGAACACGCCGTCATCGCACCAGATTCAACGGTTTCCGAGGAATTGCCTTTTGGACAGTCATGACCTGGCCTTGACCTGCCGTAGGCTAGGGAAACTATGAAACGAATTTTATGCATCAAAAGACTTGCTATTAAATTGTCTTCAGCTAATCAAAATTTGGCTACGCCGCGCCGTTCGGAAGCCATTATGAAAAGGTTAGCGCGGGGAAGGCGGACGAAGGAAAATCGATCCCCCAACCCAACCGTGTGGTTTTGATCACTCTAAGTTCAATTTAAGAGCCTCATGCGACTCACACGCTATCTACCACACCTCCAAACTTTCGCAGAATTACCACACCTCCAACCGTAGTCTCGTTAAGTGCACGCAGAAGGCGTTCCAGTTTAGCTTCGCACTGACGTGGTAGTTGAAGTTAAACAACACAGAACATCTTGCAATAAGCGATAAAGCAACCAGAACGCTCAAGCTTATGTGACATGACACTTCAAAGCGCCATTTCGCCTAGCAGGCCCTTAATCACTGATAAGGTTTTACGTTCCAAGTAGATCCAATAAATCACAAACACGATTATCCGTTGTCGAGAAACACACGACTGACTGCTTACAAGATATTTTGTCCGATATATGTATTATATATGTCCGTTATATGCATACAAACACACACACATGGCAGGTCAAGATCAGGCTATGACTGTCGAGAAGGCCATTCCTAGGAAACACATCATATCAGAGTGATAATTAATGGACACTGGCGTTTCATCAAAACATAGTTCACAAACATAACCTCATATATATATATATATATATATATATATATATATATATATATATATATATGCACATATATGCATATATGTGTCTATATGTGTGAGCCTACGTTGGTAATTTATACTTGAATGAAACGTCAGTGTCCATTAATCATCACGGTGATATTCGATTTTGTATTCTGGCACATTAGCATTAGAATTCTGCAGGGACGTAGTCATCCGCCTTTTCGGCATCGCCGGTATGCCGTGCGCATTCCGTGCCAGGCACTATGTGTCTGGTATGAGTTAATTCAGATCCAGCTTCCGTCAGCTTAAGTCAGGCTTGTGCCAGCACAAATCCCACAGACGTCACCCGACTTATGCTCTACGTCAGATCACTTGCTCCTGGAGGCGGTGTGTCTGCCGCGGCGCGGTGCGTCAGCGTTGTCAGGAGCCCGAGCCACACGCATCAGCACGCAGCGGCGCATCTGACGACGATGGACCGAACCAGCCCGCGAAAACCGCGTCCTCCGCGCGCCGTCAGACTCGGTTAGCGCGAATTCTGCGACCTGCCGCCACCAGGGCCGCGTCGGTTCGCGCCGCCGCCGGCACGTGCGCCTCGTCAGCGGCGACGGCCGTCGGTCCCGACGCGGCCGCCAAACAGACCCCCGCCGGCGGGTAAACAGCGGGAGTTTTTACTTCGCCGGCGTCGACGGGGCGCGGCGCCGGCGGCGTCGAACCGACGAACGCCGCCGGCCGCGGGGCAGCGGAATTCATCATCCGCAGGCCGGCCTCGATCCAAGCGCGGCTTCATTAAACTGTATAATGGATCGGCTATTTATTCTGGCGCGCTGCGTGTCTCGCGGTCCGTCGATATCGGACGGCGCATAATGGACGGCGACGAGCTCTGCATGCCTGCCGGATTATCCCGCGCCACGCGGCCTCTGCGCGCCTCAATGCCTGTCAAATTCCTCCGGCCTTGCGCCATGGGCGCCCCCAGGCCGTCGGCTGAGAGAAGTAGAGGGAGGAGGGGGGGGGGGGGGGGGGAGCCGCGTGCACAGTGGCAGCTTTATGGTCGCGAACAGGCGGAGGAACGTTGAAGTCGGTGAATCCAAAGTTTATCTCACGAAGGTCTCGGAAGCTGGTGGTGCCAGGAGATGATCCGCCATTGCCACGTTCCTTCCGATGCGGCTTTGTTCGGGCCCGCCCCCAAATCTCCTGCTTCCTGCGATCGGACCCACCTGTCGGTCGGCCGGCCTTTCATCTGGAGCGGCCTCCCGGGGCCGGGCCACTGGTGACGCCATCTAGCGGCTGGGAAGGCCGCGGCCGCTCCGGTGGAATGCGCCGGGAGAAGCCGATCTCTGCCGCTGGAGAGCCTGCTGAGACCCTGTTGTGGTGCGGGGCACACCTCTTTCTGTATCCGCAGAAAAATTTAGCCTCCATGTCGACATGTCTTTTTGATTTCCAATCCCGCCGACGTCATCAGAACATTTCCAGTTCAACCCGAGCTTGAAGCCCTTTGAAGTCGCCACGGGAGCAAACAGCGCATCAACAACACGGCAAAGCTTTCGCCTCACAAGCCGGTAATCCACCTCCAGCCCGGCCCAGCAAAGCTATCCGGGAGCAGCAGCCTGCACGGCCTGTCGCAATCTCCGGCACACCTCCGACGCCGCGTCTCCGGCGCCGCCCGCAGAGGGGCCGTCACGCTGTCCCCGACACGGTCCGTGCCGCGGCCCCGGGCGCAGTCCGTAACTCACACTGGGATGGGGCGGAGCGATGCGGCGGCACGAGCGCCACTGCGCGCCGGTCCGCGCGCGCACGTGAAAGGAGACCGATTGAATTACGGCGGCGCCGCCGGCATGCTGACGGCAGCGCCGGCCCTCTGTGTGCGTGAGACGACGACGGAGGGGGCTTGTGCGGGCCGCGAGGGCGGGCTCCGTTGAGACGCTCTTTGGGTGAGAGTCAAACCGGGAAGCCTCGTCATACGCGAAGTCACCGCGCTTCTCATGCTGCGGCCAGCCTTAGGGGAATTGCGGGGCTCGTGGTCAGATAAGCAGGAACTTTGTCTCTGGTTAAAAGCCGGGCTGAGCATCTCGATGTTCTTGAAAAGTTTTGTTATTTGGAACGGCTGCCTTACCAAAATTACATTATACCTACTTAAAGGTCTTTTCTCTCGGCAGCCTACGCAAATCAGTTCCACGCATGGTAACGTAATCGATCGACGATTCGTGCCGAGTATCGGCGTCGGGCACGGGTGTACCGATCCCAGGAGGGTTCAGCACCACCTCTCCAGGTCCGGTTCCAGCGGCGCCTGTGGCGACAGCGACGCCGACTGGCCCACCACCTGACAAGGGTCGGCGTCGGGTCTGCTGTTACGGGATGGCTGACCTTTCTCTTCGGACGGTGGGAACGCCGCCCGGATGACGCGCTCCGTTCGGTTCGGCCGTCTGACTCGGCGCTTCCTGGACTTTCTCCCCTCCATGAGAGAGTGCGTGGCTGGACGCGTGCGTGAGCTGCCGAACGCATCCGGAAAATGAGTTCGAATAAATGTGGATTATTTTGCTCGGTTGCTGGTTCGTTTGCCTGCGCTCGCTTGCATTTGTCCTAGGACCATTTACCTTGATGAGAGAAGTATGCCACTAATTTACTGGTGTGCAGATGTAAGACGTCCTTCCCAGTCTATAGACTCTTCTGCCTTGCGTTGTGTGGGTCATCCACCCTCAAACATTTGACGTATAATGGATATCAGCTGTGAAACCTTTAGGTTGTTCATCATCAGTTGTTCATTATATGAAAGTGTACAAATCGCTAACTCAAAGTGTATGGCCTTCCCTCACCCAGCATGTTAGTTTTCAGGCTGCATATATCAGCCTCCCCAGTCCCCTTGCGTTAGTCGGTCACCATGCTGCGCACAGGCCGCCTGCCTCACTCGCGTGGAGCCGCTAGCCGCCTGGAGTGTGGGTCAGGTCACCCACCGTCACGTACGCCTGCAGGTGACCGCGTTTCCGGCGGTCGTCTGTGGCTCACCGGCTCCCGCCCCCTGCGGTTGTGGGCCACCGACTCGGTGGCGCGTGGGCCTTCGACCGACGGAGCGTGGTCCGCCCGGCGCATTAGCCGTCCAATCAGATATGCGCGTCGTTCAATCGTTAGCAGGTCGCCGGCCCGGAGGGTTGCGGTCCCCTGGTGGCTTCAGTAGGTCGCCGTCCCCTGGCGGCTGCAGTAGGTCGCCGTCCCCTGGCGGCTGCAGTAGCCCGCTGTATCGCGGTGACTGGGAGGTTTCGCCGCTGGTGGTTAAAAAGGGTAGGCGGCCCCTAACGGCTTCGATAGGCCGCTGTATCGTGGTGGCTTCGGAAAGTCTCGCCTCAAGTGGTAAAAAAAGGGTCGGCGGCCCCTGGCGGCAGCAGTAGGTCGCTATCTCCTGGCGGCTTCGGCAGTTCGCTGTCCCCTGGAGGCTTGGGGGGACCCCGCCCTTGCGGTCACGGATGGTCGGCGTCCCCTGGCGCGTCAGCGCACTTTGCGCAGACAGCGAGCGTTGTTTTTACCTGCAGTTGTCAGCAGATGCACAGCATCGTAAACTTGTTTGGCGCTGATGAAGGGATCTGATGACGACTGATCTAATTTAATGTCGTTCTCGATTTTTTTCTCGCGGTTTTGAGAGCCTTCAATACTAAGTTTGGATTGTCACCGAAGTTCTCTTGCTGGTGAAAGACGTCGGACGTAGAATCACAAACAAGAGACTGCCAGCGGAATCTTGTTCCCAAATTCTCAACAAAAGACCATGCATCTGCTCTCCATACGTTCAGCTGAGCTCGCCGGGCACCCAGCCCGCTCTGCTGACTCCGGCTCCTGCGCGGAGTGCTGCGTCGCCCCTCGGGCCCTCAGCTCAGCATGGCGCTGCTGGACCTGCGCCGTCCCGCATCTCGCAGCCACGCCACATGGCCGGACGCGGGCCGCCGCACCAGCAGCGCCGCCGCCGCGCCGCCTTTGTGCGCCGCCCCGTCCTGTCGCCGTCGCCTGAGGATGTCGCGCCGCCGGCTGGCCAAGCTGCAGCGGCGGTGGCCGCCGCCGCACGCCGGCCGCAGGAGAGCGCAATTAGCTCAATTTGCAGGCGCTGTGCTGTCACGGGGGTGCGATTATTCAAAGGCGCGCGATGCGGCGCGGGCGTGGGCTCGTGTTCGGGCTGGCCGCGGTGGTGCGGGCGGGGTGGAGCGGGCTGGTCTGCCGGCGCCGCCCGCCCTCTCCGCATTGTTCCCCGGGCGGGCTCGGCGACGGACCGAGAGACGCCGGCAGGGGGACGTCGGTGGTGTATCGGCGAGGGTCCGCGATGACGTCGCTTGAGACCGTCCCGGAGCGTCTACAAAATACCTGGAAACGATGCCTGCAGCGGTCCGGCCCCAGGGGACCCACGCAACAACGCCTCCGGAAATACTCTGGAGCGCGTTTAATTGGAAATGTCTCCGACATGGCGAGAACAGCGCTGACACAGGAACGTTCTCGACCGGGAGTGACTCCAACGCGATACGATATCTCGGGGAGTGCGGGAAGTTCGCGGAACGCCCGTGCCTGACGCCTGGGAGCGGGGTGTTTTCGGAGCTCGACCAACGGAACTGCCGGACGGACCGGCGGGGCCGGACACAACGACCAGAGGCGGGCGGCACACATTACCATACGAAAGGACGTCTCAGGCATAGCTGACACCTGAATGTTGGTCTCGGCTGGATCAGGAGCAGCAAGCTTGAACCGAAACCGGCTGGTATCGGACTGAATCGGGGATGTGCCGTACGGCCGCGGGGAAATTTCCTTGCTGACGTCCCCCCGCTGAATAGACCAGCGCAGTTTTTGTGACGGAACCTGTCCGACTCATTAGTGAAGAAATTCAATGGGTGTGATAGAATTATCGATGAAGGGATCGAACCTCAGTTTTTGCCAAGCCCGCAATCTGCGTCGCTCCCCGTTAGGCGAGTGGAGCCAAGCGACGCGATTAAAGCCAGCCACCATGCGCACTTCCATAAATCAAGCATTCTGTTTCAGAAATCTGGCGCACAACGACATCCACCTGATAGAGGACTCGTCGTTCGCCGACGCAACGCGACTGGAGAAGCTGTGAGTACGGGTCCGGGGTCGCTGCCCGCCCACTTACCCGGACAGGCGGAGCGGCCAGCGAGAGTCACCTCCACTCCGGCTAATGGCTAAATCTCGTTACGGTCGTAATAGCCTTAGCCCGTCGCTGGCGATACCGATACATGCTGATAAGAGGCGGCGGGTGCGCGGCGCGTCCCACCCGGCACGGCGGCTTTGCTGCAGCTAATTGTGATCTGCCACCCCGACCGCGCCACATTTGCCGCACTCTCCGTGTGGCGCAATGTAACGGGTGGGTGAGAGTCGTCACTCGTCCGTCAGGGACGTTCTAAGACTCGTTCCGCTTGCCCCAGGGGTCAAAACTGAGGACCGGCTCACGCTCGGAGAGTGCTTCTCGCGTCTAATTATTGTAGATAAACTATCAAAGCAGCTTGTGCGGCTTCCTCTGCTATCCAAGTGGACGACTGAGTCGGGTCCAACAAAAGAAGTATTTTCCTTTTGACTCGTTTGTAAGCAAAACCGTGTTGACTCCAGCGCTGGGTTTTGTATTTGCAATGGAGAGGTTGAGAACAATACCTGACCAACTGCCATGGATAGAACTTAAATTCCCGAAGACAGATTTCGATTACCATTCGTACTCACGCGAGCAGCACAGATTCAATCCAATACCAGGCAATACTTCTGTAAAAACAATAAATTTCATGGTTTTCTTTGCGTACAAGCTGTCACTAGCGGCTAGGAGTCCCGTCCGGGGTTTATATGCGGTCAGTTGTTGTGCACCACGGACAAGTGGCTAAAAGTAATCTGCTACTTACCGTGGTGCCGACAAGGATCATCCTCTGGTCCAATCAGATACGCCCAGCGGTAGACAGCGCTCGCCAGAACAACCTGACAGCTCAGAGAATACGCATCCCGAAAAGGAGTTCGGTCACGTGACAAATACTCTAATGCGGTAGCCGTGACAAGTCATGTATTGCTAATACTTAAAGCGTTGCGGTGAAAATGTAACCATATCTTTTCTGCGGAACTCGTGGACCTGCAAGATGTTTGCATGCACTTTGGCCGTTTGCTTTATTAGAGCGATCGCTGAAAGACTATCCTGAGCGTTCCGAGATTAAGACGTGCGCAGTGCAACGAGGTGTGATCCATGACACAAATTTATGGCGGCGAAGGTGTCCGCTTCACACCACTCATTTTCCGCTGGTGTGGCTATGAGCCTTCCGGCAGAGCACGACACGTGGGCGCCAAACAACTTCAAATGCCATGGGGCGATAAGGACGAGCGATTCCTAAAAAGCCGTGCTACTTTCGTATATGGTTTGACTTGAGGATTGGGTAGGCATGCGCTGCTGCCTGACGTGTGGTGATATCACAGGATTTAAATTCCGTGGCTGGAAGAACGCAATATTTTACATACATGCACAACCAAGCGATCACGCTACGTCAGTTTGAGCGACAACTTTTTCAGAACAGACGTCACCAACCTAGCCATTTGTTCTGGGGACATGGCGAGCGCCTGTTTTGCAGTGGCCGTGCTAGATAGGCTCATAACGCCGCTGGGATGGGCGTGGCCTTTGATCGGGGGCTGCTGCCGGTACTGTGGTTATAACTGTAAGTGGTGGCTGAAATTTCCCACGGGGTCACAGGGGTCTGCCGGGGTCAACACCCACGTTGACCTCCTTGCTGAACCGTTCAGGCGGTGGCTTGTTCAAACATTACCCCTCGCTGACAGGTTGTGTCTGGAGGAGGGCTATTTGTCTGCGCGGCGTTGTGTCTGTCACGTCCATGATATCAAAGGCTGCAAAGGTGGGATGAATTCCGGTGCACCAGCAGTCATTGCTCGCCGCTCCTTTGACGTGTTGTTAAGAGTGCCGATTTCATCCAGACAACGTGATGGAAACGCCCTGTGCCTGAAGCAGGCCTGTCATGTGCAAACCAGCGCAATGCTACATGGTTCAATGCCCGCAAAACAATTTGTCTGCTTGAAAATCGCTATGGCGGCAGGTTCTTGGTCAAAACAAAGACCTTTCGGAGAGAAAACTTCTATTTAAAACCCATCACTTGAACGGCTGGGAATGCTCTGCAATTAGTCAAATGCTATATGTTTGAAAAAACTCTTGTTTTTATTTTAATCAAACAACACATTTTTTGTTGAAACAGCATGTCCATAATTCTACTCAGCATACAATTACAGCATGTTTCGGTTTTGCATAGAACCCACCCTTGATTTACGGGCGCATTTTTAGCCAGGCGCGTGTCTTTTATGGCAATCTTTTGTCAAGCCAAAGTTGTCGTGAATTTCGCGGCTGGAGCGGATGTCCCGTTAGCTCCCGGGAAGAAGAACGGGTGCCGACAAAGCTGGTGTCTGTTTGATCAAGATAGATGACTTCCGATTGAACGGAGCTTGCTCAGCTTCAGAGGCAAAAGCTGCGATCGTTTTGGCGCAGGATGGCAACCAAGTCTGTGCTGAACACGTTTTAACGACAATGCTCAGATGCCATATAACTATGATTTACGCAAAAAGTACGTCTGAATAAACTTTGTTAAAAGCTTGGTCAAAGTTGTGTTCTTACATCTGAAACCCAACACATGCGATTTTTTTTTTTGCTCTGACACAAATCTCAAATTGTAGCCGACTCTGAGATAAATACATGGCGGTAGATACATGACAGCGCCTTTAGCATGTGCAGTCCATGCTATCTGACATCACTGTATGCCAATTTCACGCTACTGCGCTGCCTTTATATGAACACAGTCGGTTGCATGCAAATTTCTCCTAGCAATCTCGGGACGAGCCTGAGTGGCCCCGACCGTCACTGAGCCACTGGAATGCCCATATGCCATCCTCTGTTAACAAGTTAACTCGTTCCTAAAGGCCCTTGCTGTAGTAAGGTGTGGCCATCGCTCAGTAATCCTTAAACGGCACGTCAGCCGACCGTCGGCAAGCGCCAAACACATTGCCGAAAGCGCGCCGGTTCGTCAAGGTCGTGACCTTGCCGTGTGATCATTGATCCGCGGTCGGCACCGAGCCCGGCGCCACACCTTGACGGCGCCGGCGCCAGCTTCTCGGCGTCGCGCCCGTAATCTCGGTCGTCTAGACACCGGCGGGCGGCGTGTCCCGCCCCTGTTGACATTCCGCGAGAGCTCGCCCCGCCCCCTGGGGCGTCACACGGCAAGCTGCACGCGGCGGCTCATGCTCCGGCGAGTGTGGACGCCATCAGCTGGTGCCGGCTGTATCGGACCTATCGGACGCGGATGTGCCGTCGTGGGTCAGAGGAGCGACAGGCCGGGCAGCATGGGTCACACGAGCAGGGAGCGGGGAGGATCGATGCGTCCCCCCCCCCCAGGCGGCACCGCCAGGGCCTTTTTGTGCCCGTGGTCCCTGGCGCCCGTCCATAGACCGGCTCGGGCGCGTTGGCGCCCGTTTTTGTCTGAGGAGGGCTGTACGCCTGTTTGATGGCATGTGAAGCGTCTGAAAACGGGCCGGTGTTACAGGCGTCTTCACAAACAACCACATACGTCACCTTCCAGAGGAGCTCCTGTCCAGCATGGGAAACCTGCAAAACTGTGAGTCCGTCCGTTCCAACAAACTCGCCGCTCGCGCGCTATTTTGGCGGTGGCTTGGCCCCACCTCAGTCGATGTGTCTCTTACTGAGCGGTGTTGCGCTGGTGGGATGCTGCATTGTTGCGAGCGTGCACGCGTATCTAGTGGTGGCACCGCGGACGCGATACTGTTCCGCCCGACACCGCAGTTACAGCTGTGTTCTAGCGTCGCTGTTCCCGTCGTCCTACCACCCCTCGTGACCACACTGGGCTCGCCCCACGTTTTTTACCCATGTGTATGGGAGTAGCAATGACGAACGTCACCTGTCGTCTAGCGTTATTTTCCACTTCAGTTGCGATGCTGGTAGGATGTTGTGATGGGGAGTAACACACTTTGATCAGAACCACTTTCGACGATGAGACGGGTGCTATCAGAGCTGTCCGTAGATTGATTCATGACATAGCTATCGATGATAGCTCCATCGATTCGTTACGCCGCATTGGACGTCGCGGCGGGACTTCGGGCGGAAGCGAATTCGTTCCAAAAATGGTTCGTGGTGCGAGGTTATGGTGCCGGTGGAGCGCACTTCCGACGGGTACCGCCAATCTCAACTTCGATACCAGTCGGCGACTCGTCGGACACGGACTCCGATACGGTCCGGATCCGCCGCGGTAGCTGGAACTCAAATCACCGAGCAATCAAAGTGTGCTGCCAATCTATGAAAATAAAAGGGACAGGTTGAAATCGCTGACGCACATGCAATTATTTTCGGAGATATGAGACCATGATGAAGAGATTGGCCGTGGACTATGTTTCAAAGACGCTGCACAAGTCAATGGATAGCTTCTTTAACTTTTGATGACATCCAATCACATCTTGCCCTCAGGCTGTTGAAAGGGAGACTGTTGGTGAAGCAAGAATAAACGATTTTAAGTAGGTCAGTGGTTAATAAAAAACAACATATCCCATGTTGGCTGTGAGGGATAATTTCCGTCTGCTAAAGAGAAACTTTTATGTGATTGATCACCACGGACTTCGTTTTTGCATCTCTCAACCGGGACTCAATCGTCAGGCCGAAACTCGAAGCGTTCACTTTGAAGCCTCATAGGCACCATCTCAGCATCTCGTTAGAGCAGGTCAGATCAGATCAGATCAGATCAGGTCAGATCAGATCAGCGTCGGACACGATCGCGGGACGACGACCGAGCTGCACTGGCGAACGGGAAGGTCAAGGTCGCCAGCCGACCTGCGCGCCTGCCTGGCCTGCACCGCTGTCTCCCCCGCAGCTGTACCTCCTGCAGCTGTTTCACATGCGCACCACGCCTACCTCCCCCTACCTCAACTGCGGCGCTGCCCTTGGCCTCACCCACGTCCCCCGCTCACCACGGTAGCTCTCCTCCAGGCTTCCACCTCGGCTCCCCTCCCGGGCCCCACCTCAGGCCCTCCTCCCAGGCTCCAACTCGGCTCCCCTCCCGGGCCCC